ATCGCTATATTTTGAAGTGGACCAATCAGAATGACCTTCCTTGAAGCCCTCCAGTAAGTACACTACCTTATCAGCCAACAAGCGAGTTTGTGCGCATTTAGTAGTTGTTGTCGTTAGGAACATTCACTTAGGTTTTTCGCTCATGAACTATTTATTTTGACCACATAGTATGCCTGTATATTCTGTTTCCCGTGTGCTCCATACAAGTTGCGCCAGAGACCTTTGTCTTCTCATTTGGAAGTTGGCTTATCGTGACCAGAGTGAATGCATTGTCTGTCCGTACTATCAGCGGAAACACAACAGGTTTTCGAAGGATTTCTGGGCCTATGGTGGGTTGGGGAATTCCGCGTTGTGAGCAAGTGGGTTGATCTTGTCAAAAAATTGTAGTATCCATTGGGAGTAGTAAGCAAACATTCCTACCACTCCCCGTTGGGTCTTGATGTCAGTGGGAAGAGACAGTTCTTGCAAAGGCCTCAGTTGTTCAGGGCAGGGCTTAATTATTCCTTTGGAGATTTCATACTCCAGAAGCTTAACCCGTTGGGCCCCCGAACACGCTTTTTGTGTCATTAAAAGTTATTCCGTAGTTGGAAGTAACGTCTAAAAACGATCCAAATTCTCCCGATGTTCAACAGCATCTTTTCCACAAATGATGTTGTCTATATAGGCAAAAGAATCAGTTAGATTATCTTGGGAGATAATTTTATCACTGGTCCTTTGAAAGCAAGAGACACCATTGGTTACTCCGAAAGGTATACGACAAAATTGGAGGAGTTTGCCACAGGCGTCAAAAGCCATGTACGATCGTTCCTCCGCTTTGATGGGGATTTGGTAGCAAGCACTCTTTAGATCCATGGTACTGAGTGTATCAAACGTAGCAATCTTCTGGACCATTTCGTCCAATGTAGGAATAGGATAAGCGGTTTATTGTGACTGTAATCTACGACCATTCGTCCTTTGTACCGTTCGTTATTAGCGAGTAGCACTTGAGCTCTCTATGGGGAAAAGGATGGCGCGATGTTTTGCTGTAGGAGACGGTTTATTTCGGAACGAATGAAAGTATCGTTAGGGGGACTGTGTAGTCTGGATTTGTCGCTATGGGCTTGCACTCCGGTGCAGGGTTACGGAATAGTAATGGGGCTTCAACTTTTGCGCCGGTGAGGCTGCAGACAGGCAGAGGTTTCTTGCCACCGAACGGAATCAAATTTTTCATGTAATTGAAGAAAATCGTGCCCGAGCAAGACATCTGAGCACAAATTCTGTAACACGGAAAGTCTAACGTTGTGGTGCATGTCTCCTTTGTATGTGATTTTTACACTGCAATGCCTCGCGGTACACATCTGCACTTGAAGTGAAGCCATAAATACGCGCGTGCACAACGGAGTAATCTTCCATTTCGCCTTGTGAGCAGCAGTAGGAGAGAGGTAGCTTTCGAAACTGCCGGTATCAATCAGCGCTTCCAATTCAGAAGCGTTAATCTGTATCCTGGTGATAGCTCGCATTAAGCAACTGGGGGCAGCTGCGATCGTAGAGTAAGAAATTAGTGAAGTTGCCTGAGAAGTATTTTTCTTGGATGGATTTGACAAACAGCCTTCTTGAAATGTCTCTTCTTACCACAAATCGTGCAGACTGCCTCGCGAGCCGGACACTTTACCCGCGGATGTCCAGTGAAACCACAAAAGTAGCACTTTTCGTTCGATGCAACGGCAATGTATAGTGATGATGGAGGCGAAGGTGAAAATTTGGCAATCAAGTGAGGTGTTGGATATTGATGCGCATGGTGGTGAAAACAAGTTAGTATGGTAATACCGTGAGTGTTGGTGTGCCATTTCCAGGGACCTCGCTAAAGCAAATACAGTTTGAAAGTTTAATGCGCCGTGTTCCAATAAGCACTGTCGAATCTCAGGAGTAATTCAGTAATGAAGGCGTCACGCATGGCGCTATCATGATTTTTCTCCGCGTTGACTGCTTTGAAGTTGCAGTCCTTAGCAACGAGTTTGAGTTTCTGTGTGAATTGGTCTAAGTTAGATAAGCTGTCTTGTTTGTAAGTAGCTAAAATGTGGCGCGCGAAAACTTCATTCGTAGGTCTGATATAAAGGCTCCCGAGTGCGTGTATGGCTTCGTTGAAGCTGATACTCTCATTGATATATTCGAAGACTGATGGGATTATGTAGTTCACCAGGGTATTTCGCTTAGCAGGATTGTGTTTCAATAGACTCCAGAAAATTACAGAAGGTATGGTACCAGTGAGTCCACTGCCTTAGCGCATCCGGAGCATTGGGATCAAGGTCGAAACGGTCTGGTTTGAGAAAACGGTCCATGGAGATTCTTTTACAGACGAATAAATTGTAGTATGATAGAACACCAGAGAGAGACCAACGAGTAAAGAAACAAGACTTAGAAATTCAGGCTTTATTCGTCTGGGAGTGTAGACTAGAGCTGAAAGTATAAGGAACAGGGAAAGTGTATTGGCAACTAGAAATATGGGGAGGAATAATAACACAGCTGTATACTGTTCCCCAAGCAAGGAAGCCTGGTCAAGATCAGTGACCGCAGCAGAGCGGTCATGACCGAACAACATCGGGATGGACGTGCTCATGTTGCCTCACCTTCTTATGTAAGTAAAGAAGTGTTTTGGGTTTAATGAAGATGTGCAGGCAAGCTCGATTTCATGTTGTTACCGAGCACGTCGTAAATACTGCCTGCATGCACTTCGAACTGCTTGGTACATTTGGAAGGTGAATACGGAAGGAGCGTACACATGGGTACGCCAACATCTGGTCCGCCTCTTAAGCAGTCTTCGCGCCGCGGAATCAAATCAGAGTGGTCTGGCTTAAGTTTTATTCCTCATAGAAAACGGTATGTGAGGTAGAGATAACTCAGATGGATAGGACTTGAATGTGTCCCAGACTGCCTGAATATTGTCAGTATCTGAAATGACGGAAGGTGAGATGGCGGCTTTTGCTTTCATCGCTTAAAAATCGGTACGCCATATATTTGGTCTTCGGATGGTGAGGTCATTGGATACACGGTTGAGAGCACGCTTGAAGGACAGGCATGTATGTCCACTAACATTTAGAGGTGAATCGTACACAATGTCTCTGACAAAGTCCACTGTCTTGGCGAAGACCAGATCCAAGAGTGACGGTACTTGAGCCACCATAAGCCTGGTTGGCCGGTCAATAAATTGATGCAAGGGAACATGTAGGGCTAGGTCTAGTACCTCAACCGCGAAACCCCTGAAGCAGCATAACAAAAGAAATTTTGCCAGTCAACATTTTGAAGATTGAAGTCCCCCATCACTAAAGATGTAGTTGTCGAGTGGGCACGGATGAAATCAAGCAGACCCCTTGAAACAACTTTGAGTTGCGCACGGAAGACACGCAAATTAACCGTGAGTGCCTCGACGGAACTGTCCGGGGGACAGAAGCTATGCATTTTGAAAATAGTTAACGCAGAGTTAACGTATAAAACAACGCTGCCTGCGCGTTGAGCAACAACGCAGTCACATTCCAGCATTACGTAGCCTGGTCACCCAGCCTCACCGTCTGTGACATCGTCAGACAATCACGTCTCAGTGAACGCGAGAATATCTGGACGACAGTCACTGACCATGGCGTCGACCTCGCACAAGTTGTTCCGCAAGCTATGCACATTACTGAAGACCACCTGAAGGAATCTAGTACGTGAGCCCAGGGTCGAGCGCTACCAGAATCGGTGCTTGTAGGGCGGAAATGGACCGTCAGCTTAACACTGGGAAACCCACTACATGGAGACCTTTTCCCACATGTGTCGACGGGCGTTAAGGTCCTTAACACTTCCCTCAAGTTTAATCTATCCGCTAGAGGAAGGTCTAGTTGCACAACGATACCAGCACCCTTGAGTCTAAAGGCGAATTGCAGGACAGATTGGCGTTCCTTTGGTGTGGACGGAACAACTCGCAGTAGGCATGGTCGAAGGTTAGATCCGTCGAGCGGTAAAATACCGAGTCTAGTAAGTTTTTGCGCAGTAACCCCGGGAAATCCTGGTGACAATCGCTAAGTAATCCAAAGTTTGAACCACTGAAGGTCATCCAGCATACCATCTCCTGAGAGAGCAGCGGATGACTCAGTGGCATTGCAGAAAATAACCCTACGATCGGTATACGAGTCACCGCGAAGCGAGGTATTTACAGCACGCGACATAGATGCAGGTGCATGTGGTTTCGCAACTGGTTTTATAGACTCTAAGGTCATAGTAAGCTCTAGTTGCGAAGATGGAACGGTAGTGGTTGAGTTGGGGGGGGGGGCAATGGACATAGAGAAGGGAAGTGTGCTCTTTAACTGCCTTTGAAGTAGCTACCTTCTCACCCTTAGTTCGCTTTTTATTGACAATCGCAGTCTGCGCTTCACCCTTATTAACAACTGAATCAAACAGGCTATCCGAGTGATTAATATTAACTGGCAAACAATTTATAGACTGAGGATATGTCGAGGTTTCCAACAGAGTCAAATTATGCAGATCCCACATCATATCGTTACTGAGGAAGCCCGAGCTATCCATGCGCTTCACAATCCAATCGACTTTCCTGTCTAGAAATATCAACAGAGACAGGATACCATCCAGAGAAACATGACTGTCCTTTGTTAGCGGGCAGCGATAAGCCTTACATTTTGAGCAATCGTTATAGCAGTTGAGGAAATTCTCGTTGCTTCGGGCCCAAGCCAGTACATGACTCAAAGAACTACCGATTACAGATGTCACATTGCATGCCTCCCGACGAATCAGCAAGTGCTTTGAGACATCCCGCTTTGCCACAACCACCGAGTCAACGGAAGGAAGACCTGCGGATCCAGGAACGCTCGTTCGGACCAACGTAACAGAAGGGAAACAAAAAGAAGAGAGAAACAAGTAAATATATGAGAAGAGAAAGATAAACCAGTTGACGGTAACCAACTATGAAGCCTGCGAGATCGTTAGTAGGAACGGCCAGGAGTAACACATTTGTAGTGATGTCGACTCACTCGATCACACAAGGTGGGAGCTGGTAGTTGAGGGCTGTTGATGGCGACTCGTTCAAAGCCAACTGTTCAGTTCAGTGTTATTCAAACGCTGGTTCCACGAAAGTTTTCGATAACACGGAAATCGACAAAGTGCAATTTTCTACCAAGTATTCACAAAGCAAAGCAAGACAGAAGTAGGTCAGGTCAGGTTCCAAGGACGATACAGGCCTCCCCCTAAGGAGTGTCCTGTTTTTTGTACCGGTAAGCGAACAAGAGACACCGGTACTTAGACTTCTGATTTACTTCCGGTTTTGCTGCAAGAAATTGAATCAAAAATATAAGCATTCTCTGTACTGTCGTGCAGTACCAGGTTACAATAAAACAATAATTCAGGAAATAGTTCAGATTAACACCTATCTAGGCCTCTTTTAAAGGCCTTTATGGTGCTGATTCTACTAATGCTGGAGGTTGCTTATTCCAGCTACTGATTACACGATACACAATTTCGTCCTGATAACCAGCCTAGATCTCTGGTACTTGAGCTTCAGTCGGTGTGCTCGCAGGTGATCTGAACCAGCTAGCTCAAACAGCTCAGTATACTGAAGACCACCAAAACCCTTCGTGATTTGAAAGGTCTCTATTAGATCCCCTCTTACTCTGCACCATTTCATTGAATACAGACCTAAGCTCTTTAGGCGTTCAGCGTATAGCCTGGCACCTAGACCTCAATCATTCTAGTAGCCAGTTTCTGTGCTTTTCTATACAGATCACGTCTTTGCAGTGGTACGGTACACAAACCTGTACACAGTAGTTTAGCTGAGGTCTTACTATCACTCTGTATAAGAGAAGAAAAACCTCAGCTCTAGTGCTGCATTTTGAGGCGAGACAACTCATTCCGCGCCTTGTTGGCAGTATGCTTACGTCGCGCTGATAGTTTTAATTCGTTCGCAACAATGATGTCTAAGTCTCGTGCTTCATCTGTACGTTGCAGATCTAGAGGCCCGACAGACGTTAGTACCGTAATCCCATCATTTCGAGAAGCCAGTGACTGGCATCTATTGGCGTTTAAAGGCAAATCCTATCTAACCGACCAATCCACTACAGTGCGAAGGTCATTGGACAACGGCTAGATTATCCCTGTTGACGATCTTCAGATCAGCCAAAATATAACAGGGGTAATGGAGAGGAGGAGCCAAGTCGTTGATAAACATAAGAAAAAAGAATGGTCCTAAAAACGGAACCTTGGGGAACGCCGCTGTGAACAGTGCCGATGCATGATCTAGCTTCGCCGAACCTAACGCGAAAGGTCCTACCGCGAAGAAACGTTGCAATCCAAGTTAAAAGTTGAGGATGCAGGCCAAGCCATCCCAGTTTCGAAAGTAAGAATCGGTGGTTAACCGAGTCGAAAGCCTTGCTAAAGTCGAGGTAAATAATGTCAGCTGTACGCCATGACGGCGCTTCGCTGCCGCGCGACCACACCAGTCGCGTGCGAGCTGAGTATACGGCGAGAACGCCCACCCCTACGCGGATTCGAACCGGTGACCTTATGGTTGCAAACCAGGCGCGCAGACCACTCGGCCACTGGTCGAGATGCCATCATCAAGACAGGTAGTTATTTCATTTAAGAAACAAAAGATTAGTAAGGCACGATTCCTTCCTAACAAAACCATGCTGCTCGGTTCCAATTAAGTTGTGATTAACTAATTGCTCGCAAATTCGTTTTCGAATAAATTCGAATTCAAATGGGACAGGAACAAAAGGACGTTCCCATGGTCGTTTCATCCCGTATGGGTCGCTAATACACATTAGAATGTGGTGGCAAGATGGACCAGTTGCAAGAGTCAAATCAGAATGCATAAATCAAATCATGATCAATCAGTCGAAACCCACGTGCCCTGCGCTAGCAGTCTCCGCTGCGCCGACAGCGTGAAATAAGAGAAAGAAAAAGAAATTGTAGACGAGATATATAGCGGAAGTGTACGAAAGAGGACAATGAAGAGGAAGTTAGTAAGAGTGAATAAAAATGAAGATAGCTAAAGAGCAAACAGACATTTAATGTCTATTTGCTCTCCAGCTATCTTCCTTTAAGAGAAGGGGAAGATTCAAGCTGCAAGTTGAGAGCGTCGGGGCGACGTTGTATTAAGCTAGACAAATCGCGGTCCGATCGAGTTAGAGCGGGGACACGGTGATCGCATCGAGTTATCCAGCGCTAGGACTCGCTTCAAGAAAATGTGGGGTTTGAGAGTCAACTAGATGCTCTTTGGTGGCAACATGAAACATTCATTTTTCCTGATTAATTCCCATGTTTATACTTGATACTACTTTGCGTACTTTCCCTTACCATTAAATAAATAAACAAACTTATTTTCGGCGACGCGAAGCACGCTGTTACAGGCATGATCATGTTATGATATCAATGTGTGAACAAAAACGTACAAAAATACAAGAGGTTGGCCATAACAGTGAATGTGTGCATGAATGTATGTGTAACTGTGCATAGATGTAACTTTGTAGCCTGTGTTTGTAAGTGTGCCGTTGTATTTGTGACTGTTTGACAATGTCAGCTATGTAAGAATAGACGACTGACGTCCGTGGATTGGATGTAAGTATCCAGGTATCTACGGGGCAGTGACAAGTTTGTGGCGAATCACATTCGTCATGTCAGTGTTGATAAACGGACATATGTGGCCTTCTACAGGGAGAACGCTTGCCAAGCGAAAACCCACCACGTCCTGGAACACTGCCAACGAACTATTTGCTGGAACGGGTTACACCCGAACCACCCAGCTGGCGCTTCGCTAACGTGCGACCACCACCAGTCGCACGTACACCGCGAGGACGCCCACCTGTAGGCGGAAACGAACCCGCGCCCCAAGATAACGAGACGAGATCGTTACCTCTAGGCTACGGGCTGACGTTACTGCTAGGCTACGGGCAGACGTCTGACTACATAGCAATACTTCGCTTGTCGCTGCATCATTATTTCTGCAATGTAATATTTCTCATACTGCAAGCAACGGGTAAATCCCCTGATTACTGAAACTTCTACCAAGAAATGTTGCGCTTCCTTATCGCATAATCGATACTGCGGCGCCACCATCTAGGTTTGTCAGAGTGTTTCCTGGGGTGCAGCGGGGAGAGCATGTAGCAACGCAGATATTTCTTATTTTCATATGTACAAATCAGTTAGTCAATCGAATAGCCTTATTATTTTAACGCCGATCCTACGGAAATTGTTACCGACTACCATTTCATCACTTGTGACCATGATGAGTTCCGACACTGACGTACGTTGTCCTCGGTTCATAAGTTTTTCGTCCGATTGCTGCCTTCCACGTATACAACCCGCTGTCTTCGCTCCTACGCTTTTCTGGAATCCACACCACAGCAAGAACACCCAGAGACTAGTATGGACTAGTACTACAAATTAGTGACGCTGAATCGCACGTGCACATTCAAGTTCAAGTGGAACTGGAAAGATAGGATGAATCCTGTGAGTTGCTTCTTGAGCAGGAGTCATCATCATCATCATTACACGTTAGCTGGAGGTGGAAAACACCTCAGCTATTGTGCCGCAATACAAAAGATAAGAAAAGGAAAACAGGAGTTGATCCAGTTGATAGGGGTGCTCCGACTTTTTGATTGATCTAAAACGAAAACACAAAAATTACACCCTAGTCCACCAATTTAATGTCCATTATCCTTGCATTAGCTGTCCCTGCTATGCCAGAAACGTGAAGTAAGAGAGAAAGAAAAAGCGAAGGGAAAGAGTAAGGGAAATCAGTTAGAAGAAAAGGATAATACCAAGGGTGCGGGAAAGTACAGAAAACAGAAGCAAGTATGAAGATTGGAATAGTCAGGAAAAGCAAAAGTTTCGTGTTGCCACCCAAGAGCATCTAGTTGACGCTCAAATCCCTTAACCGTAGCTTCCTTGACCACATTTTCTGGAAGCGAGTTTCAGCGCTCGATGACTCGACGCGATAACCGTGTCTCCGCTCTAACTCGATCGGACCGCGGTTTGTCTAACTTCATACAATGCCCGCGGAGACCAGATAATCTAGCAGGACTAAATAGTCAGGACACATCAAGGCCAACCCCAGTCAAAATACAGTAGGTTAGGATTAGGTCCTCTCTAATCTTTCGATAGTGCATTGAACACATCCCCAGACTAAGTAGGTGTCCGGGGTGCGTTTGTCCTCGTAACATAGTACCGACACCCAAAACCCCTTGTAGTGTCATTTTGTCCCGGACAAGGCATGATGCACAGGCCTGCACGCAATATTCTAGGTGGGGTCGCACGAACGCTGAGAAGAACTTCACAAACATATTAGCCGTTAGGGTCCCAAAAGAACGACGGATAAACCACAACATCCGGAACCCTTTACTAGCCGCCTTCCAGTTGTCTCCAGGGTGTAGTGTGGAACAGTGGACGACACCTAGATCAACCTGATGAGTCACGTGAAGATGTTCACCCCCATTGAGCACATAACTTGTGGAGGAATCAGACGCTCCGATACGCAGCACTGAACACTACCCGATTTATGGGCAGCAACCATAACACAGACCATTACCAGAGTCTATCCAGAGCTCGTGGAAGAGCCACAGGACCTCCAGGGATATCAACAATATTCCAGGGCTTTAGGTCATCAGCAAATAAGAGCGATGGTACCTCAGACCCCCCGACAAGTCATTCACGTAGACTGCGAACAGCAGCGGACCTAGGACAGAGCGTTGCGGAACGCTGATAAGGACAGCTTTGCGAGACGACAGACTGCTTCCCACACGAATACACTGTTCCCGTCCAGCCAGAAAAGCTGACATCCACTGGAGGGCGCGACCAGCTATTCCATACGATCTCAACTTCAGTGAGAGTCGCGAATAGGGGAGAGTGTCAAAGGCCTTGGCGAAGTCAATGAACACCCCATTCACCGCAAGTCCACTGTCTACGGCTTCAGCCCAGCTCTCACGAGCTAACAGCAAGTCCGTTTGACACGAAAATCCTTTGTGAAAACCATGTTGCTCGATGCTAAGCAGGTTAAATCTATTCAAGTGGTTCTGCACTGTATCTCGTATTAATTTTTCAAGCAACTTAACGACCCCACTAGTCAAGTTGACAGGCCTGTATTCAACCGGTAGCTCTTAGTCACTGCACTTGAAAATCGGGCAGATAACAGCCTTCCATACAGTAGGTAAGACAGAGGTTTTGTGGGACTTCTGAAACACACAAGTCAGAGGTCCACTAAGTTCTACTGTCATTTCGTGCAGCAATTTTGGATGAACAGAATCCGGCCCGGAAAACTTAGTTGGGTT